CTGAAATCGTGAAACACTGAAAGCACTTGACACATAAAAGTCGTGAAACACTAAATGTACTTGACACTTGAAAATCGTGAAAGACTTAAAGCACTTGACATTTAATAATCGTGATGCACTCAAAGTTCTGATACTTAAAAATAGTGAAACATTGAAAGTACTTTACACCTGAAAATCGTATAACAATTAAAGTACTTGACACCTAAAAATGTGACGCACTGAAAGTACTTGACCTCTGAAAATCGAGAAATACTGAAAGAACTTGACACCTGAAAATTGTGAAGCACTAAATGCACTTGGTACCCGAAAATCGTGACACTCTAAAAGTACTGATACTTGAAAGTGTCAATGTTTTTTAAGTCTAAACACACTAAGCTTTCGCAGAGATAAGTAAAAATAATACACATCGTGTTGGAGATTTCCAAAATGTACAAACATTATTTTACAATTACAAAGTGTAAATAATCTTCACTGTGGACATGACGTCCACAATATAAAATTTGAAATTCCTACATAGATCAAATTGGACATTTTGACAGAAATCACCTCAGAGAGGTAAGCTCAAAATTGTATTTTGCTTTTTTTGCGTTGCTTTGTTCAATATCTATTCGTTTTACACGGTTAGAATAGTTGTTCTTGAAGCAACGGAGACCTACTTCAAACGGAACAATGGTCCAAATAAATTATTTCCAGTTCCGACATGTTTAAGCCTCAATGGTGTCTCTTAAATAGAGCGAGAAGTGCTGTTAATAATTTCAATACTCAAATGTCTCCATGGGGAAATTTGCTCGTTTGAAATTCTTTGCTTGTTTTGACGTACATGTAGCGTCAAACATTTATATGTATAAATGATTGACGCTACATGTTTATATGGGTTATGATTTTATATGATTCATTTAAATTTTAATTTAATATCCAATTAAATATTTACATTATTTAAGAATACATTACTTATATAATACTCTTTCTCTTCATTTAGAAATAGATTGAAAGAATAATACTATGAAAGCGAAATGTGCTCACCTGTTCAATATCATTCCACCAAGCTGTAAAATCATGTTGTTGTACTGCAGTCGTTGTTGATATATGACTTATCTGAAATAAAAACAATATGTTTAACCTAAAATATGAGCTCAACTTACCGAATCAAAAGTAACAAAAGCAACCCCACCCTTCCTCCCGTCTCAAGACTACTCCCTTTCAAAAACAAACCACAAAATAACAACTTAAACCATTTTGTCAATATGTAGAGAACAATATGTAGAGAACATCACAATACACTTCTTATGAATGAGATATAATACCCGGAGTATTTCTTGACTGTAGTTGTATCCCGATTTATTTCATGACGGTAGTTAAATCTCGGATTGTTTCATGGCGGCATTTAAACCTTGGATTATTTCATGACAACAGTTATATATTGGATTATTTCATGACAACAGTTATATCTCGGATTATTTCATGACGGCAGTATTATCTTGGATAATTTCATGACGGCAGTATTATCTCCGACTATTTCATGGCGTAGTATTATCTCGGACTGTTTTATAGCGGACGTATTATATCGGATTGTCTCTTGATTGCAGTTATATCTCGGATTATTTTATGACTGCAGTAATATCTCGGATTGATTCTTAAGGGCAGTTATATCCCGGATTGTTTCATGACTGCAGTATTATCTCGGACTTTTTGATGATGGTAGTATTATCTCGGATAGTATCTTTATGGCAACAATGTCTCATATTAATTCATGACGGCAATATAATCTCAAATTCTTTAATTACTACAGTTATATCTCGGATTATTTCATGACACCATTATTATATCTGATTGTTTATGACTGTAGTAATATGTAGGATTGTTTCATGGCGGCAGTATTATCTCTATGTGGTTTATGATGGCAGTATTGTCTCGGATTGTTTCATGACGGCAGTATTATCTCTATGTGGTTTATGATGGCAGTATTGTCTCGGATTGTTTCATGGCGGCAGTATTTTCTAGGATTGTTTTATCAAGGTAGTATTATCCGGATTGTCTTTTGCGGCAGTTTTAATTAGGATAGTTTTGTGACGTCAGTTTTATCTCGGATTGATTTTATGATAGTAGTAATATATTAGCCCGTTTGATGGTAATAATATTAACTCATACTATGTCGTGATGTATTATTTAATGATATAAATAAAAGCCCAGAATTATTCATGACAGTTATGATAACCAAACATTTCATCCGAAATGTCTCATATTTTATGACTTTATTTTTAGCTCGAACTGTTTTCTTGACGGCAGTGTTATCTTGGATTGTTTCATCACAACATTTATATGGTGGACTATTTCATGACTGCAGTATTATCTCGGATTATTTCATGAATGTAAGTTTATCTCGGATTGTTTCTTGACGATAATATTATCTTGGATTATTTCATTATGTCAGTAATATTTCATGACTGAAGTATAATCTCGGGTTATTTCATGAGTGCAATATTGTCTCGGATGATTTAATGCAGGCAGTAATCCACGAATTTTTCAATCCTGTAGTTATATCCCGAATTATTTAATGACAGAAGTAAAACCTCTGATTCTGTCATGGCGGCAGTAATATCTCGAATTATTTCATGACAAAAGTAAAATGTTGGATTACTTCATGACGGGAGTGTCATTTTGGATAATTTAATGATTGCAATACCATCTCGGATTGTTTCATGACAGCAATAATATCTCGGACTGTTTCTTGTCGGTAGTATTATATGGAATTATTTCAAGACGGCAGTATTATCTTGGATTACTTTATAATATTAGTATTACCTCGGATTGTTTTCTAGCCCCGTATTATCTCGGATTGTTTCTTGACTGCAGTATTATCTAGGATTATTTTATGACGGCAGTATTATCTATGATTGTTTCTTGATGGTAGCAATATCTCCGATTGCTTTATGACAGCAGCAATATCTCAGATTATTTCATGACGACAGTATTATCTCTGATGGTTTCATTGCGTTAGAAATATCTCTGATTATTTTCTGATGGCAGTATATATGACCACATAACACCTATCTTACGTGAACTTCACTGGCTTCCGGTAGAGTATCGGGTCGAATATAAAATTTTGACTTATACATATAAATCCCTCATCGATCAATCACCAGCCTATATAAAAGACATCATTATCTCGGATTGTTTCATGAGGGAAGTATTATCTCGGATTGTTTCATGACGGCAGTATTATCTCGGATTGTTTCATGACGGCAGTATTAGCTCGGATTGTTTCATGACCGCAGTAAAATTCGGATTGTTTCATGGTCGCAGTTATAACTCAGAGTGTTACATAGTGGCAGTTTAAGCTCGGATTGATGAATGGCGGCATGAATATCTCCAATTATGTCTTGACTGCATTATTGTCTTGGACTGTTTCTTTACGGCAGTATAATCTCGGATTGTTTGATGACAGCAGTATTATCTTGAACTGTTTCATGACTGCAGTAATACCCAGTTTGTTTACATGGCGGCATTATTATCTCAGACTGTTTCATTGCAGCAGTATGATCTAGCATTGTTTTATGAGGGTAGTATTATCTCGGAGTGTTTCTTGACGGTAGTATTATCTCTGATTGTTTCATGACGGCAGTTATATCCTTGATTATTTCATGACGGCAGTATTATCTCCGATTGTTTCATGAAGAAGGTATTATCTTTGATTGTTTCATGACGAAGTTATACCTCGGAATTTTTTCATGACGGCAGTATTACCTTGGATTGTTTCATGACGGCAATATTAGCTTGGATTATTTCATGCCGCAGTAATATTTCGGATTGTTTAATGACGGCAGTATTAGCTCGGATTGTTTTCCTGACGGCATTTTTATCTCGAATTTTTTTCATGGCGGAAGTTATATCTTAGAGTATTTCATAGCGGCAGTATTATGTCTGATTGTTTCTTGACGTGGTAATATCTTTTATTGTTTCATGACGGTACTTATATCTCGGATTCTTTCATGACGCCAGTATTATCTCGGATTGTTTCATTAAGGCAGTATTGTCTCGGATTGTTTTCTGAAGGCAATATTATTTTAGATTGTTTTTTGACGGCAATATTATCTTTCATTTTTTCATGATGGCAGTGATATATATATATTGGTTTTATGACTGCAGTATTATCTTTGATAGTTTCTTGAAAACATTATTGATTCTGATTGTTTCTTGAATGCAGTATTATTTCGGCCTGTTTCTTGCGTCAGTATTATCCGGGATTGTTTCCTTACGGTTGTATTAAACAGGATTGTTTCTTTGCGTATATGTATAATCCCCATTTTTTATGACGGCAGTATTATCTCGAATTGTTAATTGGCGGAAGTATTATCTCTGATTGTTTCATGATTGTAGTATTGTAGTATTCGTAGGTTTTCTTATCCGAATACCAGTCCACCTGCATTAATGCAGGGAACCAGTCCCTCCCCAGTGACGTCACTTCCTTATCCGTTCTTCCTGCTGAAATTGAACCTGTTGGTATTCACTGAGAAGAAAGATATCCTTGCAATCATCCGAAGTGTGCGACTTTTACAGTTTGCCTGCGGCTGATATTATTGAGTTTCATCTTTGTTTAGGTGAGTAATACTTTATTGGCGCTGCGAGCAGCCAAATATTGCAAGATTTTTGCAATTTATCCCAACCTGTAAAAAGTTCGGGAAATTTCGCCCGCCATATTACCACGTGAAATAAAGTGATTTATTGACGATTGTATCATTAAAAATATTACTTCATTTCTTTAGTTTCATCCCGAAATTAATTTTTAATTTCGAATTTTAATTTTTTATGATCTTTTAAGACATTTTCAAATTATTGTAATTTGTAAATACTCCGTGCATTATTTTCGGCCGAAATTTATTTCTTTTTGGCCATTATTAATATATATATATTCTTTATCATTTTAGAATTTAATACATCGTTTGAATCGTCAACTCGTCTTTTCACGTATACCCGACCTGTCTTTGACAGTGTTGGGTACATCCACACTTGCCAAGCAAGCCCTGTCCTGTTTCTAGTGTTTCCATTCCTGTCAAATCCTCGACAGAGACGGAAGAACAACAGAACCATATACAGCAATCCCCTTTAATGTAAGCTTTTAATTTTTCTGTGTTCAATCATTTTTATGTTTAAATAACAAAGTAAATTGTGCAATCACAGTGTTGTAACCAGTACAAGAGTTGAACTACTGTATTTCCAAAGAAATTAATAGTCATATTTATATTGCATATACATTACATTTATAAACATTATTTTTCAAATTAATTGTTTCCGGTCATATTATTGATATAATAAAACTGGAAATTTATCACAGGAAATAAATAATTAATATAGAATCTACATATTAATATTGAATAGTCTGCCTCACATTCTCAGAAATCCCAGTGTAAATAAAATCAGTAGTAAATATCTAAAATGGGGGTGGTAGATTTAGATACCACAACTATTGATGAGTTGGTCCTGCTGCCACGGGTAGGGGAAAAAATTGGTTTAAAAATAATAGCAATACGAGAAGATTTTGGGAGGGTCCCTTTAAATGAATTAATGGGAATTAAAGGGTTTCGACCTACAAAAGATTTTTGGGAAATAGCTGTTTTTTCCAAAATGCCTGAAGATGAACAACAATTGTTAAGGAATAAATTTCTAAAAGAAATGATGACATTATCCGATGAAGGTTCAGATGATGATAGCAAAAAACAACCAGAACAAGCTGAAGACAGTATTTTTGGTGACCCTATATCTGCACCGCAAATACCAGATACAAAAATTGAAGAACCAAGAGGTCGAACTAGTCCTCAAAATAAACAAGGCAGTCCCCAACAGGGACAAACTAGTCCTCAGCAACAAAAGCCAGATTGGTTTCAAAATACAGTGGTTGCTATTGATGATAGAAATGCTAAACACACCCACAGGGGGACCCGTTCAAAAACAACCCAAAATTTACCAGAATCAGGGCGTAGAAGGGGAGATTATACTAATTTTAATTCACCTGAAAATGAAACTTCGGTACAAACAGTCTTATCCCAAATGCAAAATATGTTAAAGACTACTTTAGATACTGTGGTTCAAAGACCGCAGATCTATTCACAATTCCCACCACAAGCATATGGCTACCAATTTGCTAACCCAGAACAATTTCAATTTAGACCTTATCCAAGACCACAAGATGGGGGGTATGGTAGGCGTGATAATGTTTCTGGGGGGAGGGGAAGAAGTGAGTATAGATATGATACTGGAGACGATTATTCATCAAGGCGTATGGAGGGGGGTGAACGAAGTAGGGAGGATTATTTGTATAGTTTTGATACGGATGATCGCTCAACGAGGCGTGATGATAGGGGAAGCAGAGAATTTCGCTCTGATGATAGGGGAAGCAGAGAATTTCGCTCCGATGATAGGGGGAGAAGAGATTCACATTCTGATGATAGGGGGAGCAGAGATTTTCGCCGTGAAAGACCTAGATTGAGTCAGTTACCCAAATCTTTAACGTTTAATGGAAAGGGGAGTTGGAAAGCATTCCAAAGCAAATTTAAAAAATACGCAAGCATTAATGAGTGGACCGAAGATGAAAAACTGGATTATTTATGTATGAGCCTGACCGATTCAGCAAGTGAGTACTATGCTCTGGTTATGGATAGGGATCCTGAGTTAGATTATGACCAATTGATTGAGAAGATGGAACGTCGGTTTGGGTACCAAGAATTACCCGAGACGGCGATGATTAAATTTTCCAATGCATGTCAAGATAAAAATGAGCTTTTAGATGAGTGAGCTGATAGAATCCTTACATTAGCGACAAAAGCGTTTCGAAATCTTCCAGATGAACACATGAATAGTCAAGCAATTCTGCGGTTCTGTCATGGATTGAATGACAAGGCTGCAGGTGAGAGTGTAGCAAATATGAGACCTAGCACCATGGATGACGCTATTGATAAAGTAAAATGGGCTAAATATACTAGAGGATTAGTATATAATAAAAGAGAAACTGCATCTAAGGGGTCAGTTCAGGAGGTGGAAGTGGCAGCCGTTTCTGCACTGTCTGAGAATCGAGATAAATCCAATATCAGGTTTTCGAGAGTTGATGAAGTAGAAAAAAGATTAAGTCGTATAGAATCAAGGTTTGATAAGATGGAGGACACAGTAAATAACCTCGCGAAGGAAGTAAGAAGATCATTAAGACGATATTCGCCATCCCCTTCCCGAAGTCCGTCCGATAGCAGGTGCTACAATTGTGGTAAGTGGGGTCATTTTCAGAGAGATTGTGGGCGTACCACAGTACGAAGACGCCGTGAATCACAGTCTCCTTCGAAATCTCCGTGTCACAATTGTAAGAAAATCGGTCATTGGAAACAGATGATAAAAAGCGAACAGACAAAAAGGTAGCTTTCGTTCAACATGATTTAAACGACAGTGGGTCGGAGGAATGGGAGGCCTAACCTCGACCCGGCAAGATAAAGAGGGCCTTGGGGAGGTTGAAGAAGTAGTAATAAATCAACTGGGAAAGACAGAGCCTTGTTTAAGATAGAAACGTATGTTGAAGGTATTAAGATAGGAGCTGTTATAGATACTGCAGCACAGGTAACAATTATCTCGTCCAATTTCTTTGAAAATCTAAAACAACAAAGATTTATTCCTATCGTAAAGAAAGTTACACTAAAAACTGCGGGTAAAGATCTCCATATGCAAGGTTTAATTGTTGGGCCGTTAAAAATAAAAATAGGAAAGTGTACCTTTGAGGAGTCTATTTATGTAGCACCAATAAGCAATGATATGCTTCTGGGAAAAGATTTGATGGTCAAACATGGCACTTACATCAATATCCCGGATCCATACATTCAGATTGCAGGTCAAAGAATTAAAATGACAGATAATATTGAGGAAGGGGTGCCGGAAGTGTCAAAAGTAACAGTATTGCATACCATAAAAATTCCGCCAAAATCAGGAGCAATGATCCCATGTAGGGTAAAAGGCGATTTAGGAACTTACTATGTGGAAGGGGAAGGTTTTAAATTACTATGTGGAAGGGGAACGTATTAATTTTTATCGTGGAAATGAACATCTTTTGCCACCTAAACCAAGACTTACTTTAAGACATCTGAAAAAAGATATTCTAGCTTTTCATTCAAAATTTGTTTTGGTGCCAGCGGACAAGGCGGCTAATAATATTATAATTGTTTGACGAATCCATTACATTAACGTTTTGCAATAAGGAACTAAATAGCACTAATGCGTATTCTAAAACCTCTGCCTCCGAAAAAGACATTGTAAAACAATCATATTACTAATATTTCCAATCTTAAAGTCCAAATTAATGAAAAAGAGCTCAAAACTTCCTATTATGTATTGGATTCCTAAATTACATAAAAAACCTTACAAAGCCAGATTTATTGCTAATTCTACATCTTGCACTACAAGTAAACTTTCTATTTTATTGACGTCTTGTTTGACTGCCATTAAAACACATGTAATTAGATATTGTGATAAAGTCTATGAAAACACAGGCAAACATCTCTCTTTTGGTCAATTAAAAATTCTGGTGAAATCTTGGATAAATTCAAAATTAATAACTTTCAAGCTTCAACTGTCAGTACATATGATTTTTCTACACTTTATACAACCTTGCCACATAAATTAATCAATGATAAACTAATTTCCCTAATTCAGAAAACTTTTTGCACGGGAAAAAGTTACCTTTCTAGCATGTAATTCTAACAAAGCTTTTTTTACTAACGGTATTGTTTAAACATTATACTATGTGGACCTGTGACGAAGTTTGTAGAGCACTCTCTTTTCTTTTAGACAACATTTATGTCAGGTTTGGTAATACCCTATTTAAACAGATCATAGGAAATTCCTATGGGTACTAATTGTGCACCCCTGGTCGCCGATTTGTTTTTGTACTGCTTATGAAAGAGACTTTATGTTGAGTCTCTCTGAAGAGAAACAACAAGATGTTATAGTCGCATTTAATAATACTTCCAGATACCTTGATGAAATTTTTTTAATTTAGATAATCCTTATTTTGATCAAATGGTGTCTGACATTTATCCGCATGAACTACAACTTAATAAAACGAACTCTTGAAATTTTTGTACATCATTTTGGATCTTCATATTACTATCAACAACAATTCTATTCACACGAAAATTTATGATAAAAGAGATGACTTTGACTTTTGTTATAGTTAATTATCCACATTTGGATGGAGACGTACCCCATGCAACATCTTACGGGGTTTATGTTTCTCAGTTAATTAGATTCGCTAGAGCTTGTAGCAACGTAAAGGATTTCAACGAGCGGAATATTTTTATTACCAGCAAGCTTCTAAAACAGGGCTACCCGCTATCATAAATTACGGAAATATTTTACTAAATTTTACAATCGTAACTTTGATTTAATTTCTAAATTCAATAGTGATTTAAAAACTCTTCTGCGACAAGGGATTAGCCAGCCTGGGTTTTTATGGCGATGTGGTTTACAGACTCTCGGTAAGATTTTGGTCATGGTAATTTTTCTGCTGTTTTTTACTAAAATCATTAAACGTTTTATTAAAAGAGTTATGACCCTACTATTTTAAGACATACTGCATGTTTAGTGTTCAACCTTTTACAGTTGGACACTACGCTTTCCTCTTTTGATTGCATCTGACGGACCAAGTGGAGACTCTATGATGGATAGTTCGTAAAGCCCTTTGGGACTGAATTGTCTTAATGTTCGTCTTCTGCCTTGCTTCGTCGGGCCCTTGTAGGTGATTTTCTTGTTGCTCTGTCTTCCTTTAGGACATTGAGTACTTTTGTTATGGTCATTGGTTTACTTTTATATGTTTCTACATGATCATTTTAGTGTTTACTTATTTAACCTTTTGTAACCATGACAACTGTTAGAATTTCACTTGGCGGGGATTCATTTTATTTACACTGTCTCGTTTATAGGAACATGGTGGGGCTAAGAGCGAGGTTTGGTGCACCATTAACCGGTTTAAACTCCCCAGCAGTCATTATTATGCTGCTGACCGTTCCAAGGCGGCGCCCCACTGTGTTCCTCAGATGTATGTCTATGTTGTTTCATACTGTTTTGGTGACACTTTTGCTTGTGTCCCTTGGTTGTTTTTCTCGTCTACGGTAAGTATCTTCCCCATTGCCTCTAGTTTTTATTTCTTTGATTACCCCCCCCCCCCCTTCCCCGCCGGGTCCCCTTCCCCTTTGTGGGCCTATTATTATTTTCTTTGAATTCCTAATCAGTTACAAATTATTTATCATTTAATGATTAACGTGTCGTTGCCCTGTCCTTTTTATGTTTGGGGTCCGCCTGGGCTCCTTGCCATTAGTTCTTGTTGCTGGGTCATATGGGGGTTGCGTTCATTGAACGCCGCCTTTCCTTGTTGATCTTGTTTATCATATTTTAAAAATTTACTTGTTCCTAGGTTGGTACAATCAGGGGAGTTTGTGCAAATTAACGCCATTAATTTGTCTAATCATAATGTAAAATTAAAGCAAAACGATTGTCTAGGACAAGCCGAAAAAGTCTGTATAGCACCTACAGTTCCCCCTGAATATTTGAATAAAAACAAGGTAAATAAGGCAAAAGGTATCCCCAATATTGAATTACCCGTTCATCTTTCTGACCTTTATGAGAGATCAGTGGGAAATTTAAATAGTACAGAAAAGAAAGATCTAAAGGCATTACTTGTAGAGTATCAAGATGTGTTCGCGACAGATGAATTTGATTTAGGCAATTTCTCAGCTCTTGAACATGAAATTGATACAGGGGATGCAAGGCCTATAAAGCAAAAAGTTCGTAGGACACCAATGGCTTTTGTTCAAGAGGAAGAAGGTCATTTGAACAAAATGTTGAAAGCAGGTGTTATTAGACCGTCGTATTCAGATTTGTCTTCGAGCCCAGTATTGATCCGTAAACGTGATGGATCAGTACGGTGGTGTGTTGATTATAGAGGGTTGAATGATCTAACAAAGAAAGATGTATATCCTTTGCCCCTGGTTGAAGATTGTACAGATATGTTGTCTGGTAAAAGATGGTTTTCGAAGCTAGACGCAAATTCCGCATACTGGCAAATAAGCATAAAAGAAGGTGACCGTAAAAAGACAGCTTTTAGTACTAAGTATGGGTTATATGAGTTTGTAAAAATGGCGTTTGGCTTGTGCAATGCTCCGGCCACTTTCTCAAGAGTTGTGAATTTGGTCTTGCAAGGGTTGACATGGGACACTGTGTTAGCCTTCTTGGACGATCTCCTGGCCATGGGTAAAGATTTTAATGATCATTTGCATACCCTTCAAATCATTTTCCAACGTTTTAGAAAATATCAATTGAAACTCAAACCGAAAAAATGTGTATTATTTCAACGTAAAGTAGAGTTTTTAGGACGCTGGGTAGGGCCTACTGGTTTAGAAGTATCAGACACAGATGTAAAAGTAGTTAACGAATGGCCGGTCCCGAAATCTTCCAAAGATGTGGAGAAGTTTTTGGGACTAGTGAATTATCATAGAATGTTCATCAACCATTTTGCTGAACGTTCACGTCCTCTATATCAATTAACAGGGAAAAATAAGTTCATATGGGGAAAAGAACAAGAGCTGGCTTTTCTTGATTTAAAATCAGCTTTGGTTACAGCCCCAGTACTTGGTTTACCCAACAATTATGACCCTTATATCCTAGATACAGATGCTTCGGATCTAGCAATCGGGGGGGTCTTAATACAAGTACAAAATGACGAGCCCAGAGTGATTTCTTATGGTTCATATGCCCTGACCAAAGAGCAACGTAAATATTGCACTTCACGGAAGGAACTTCTTGCTGTAGTACGGTTTATATTTTCTGGTCCTTCGGGATCATTGATGCCAGCACTATTAAGTGTTGAGAATTGAGTACCGCTCAAGCCGGTGCTAGGGGGCGTGAGGGATGTTGCACTTATTCATTATCTCTCATGTACAGACTCAATCAAACCGAGTCTTACAAGACAGTACCGCCATTATTTATTAGGGAGGAGATTTACTCTTCGCACGGACCATAGCAGCCTTACCTGGTTAATGCGTTTCAAAGAGCCCCAAGGTCAAATAGCTAGATGGCTAGAAGAATTGAGTCAATATGACATGCTTTTGCAACATCGTGCCGGCAATAAACATGCAAATGCCGATGCTCTATCTAGAATCGTCCAAGAGCAAAACAAATGCGACGAATATAGCCTGGGAGATTCTCTTCAAGAATTGCCGTGTAATGGTTGCCATTATTGTCAACGCGCATATCAAAATTGGGGGAGGTTTGCGGAGGATGTTGATTTTGCAGTGCCTTTGACAAAAACAACAAATAAATTGAACAAACATAATCGGGTATGGGATCCAGGGATATCTCCTGTCAATCCAGAGGTTAATATTACCACTGCAGTTAATTTATCCCAATTTGCCGAAGAGCAAGCAAACGACGATTCATTTGCATTTCTTCTCAATTGGTTAAAGGATAGCAAAATGCCCGAGGAGAATGAATTATTTTTGTCTAATGCTGAAAATAAGTACTATTGGATAAACCGAAACTGTTTTACAATCGAGAAGGACATCATTTATCGATTAAACCCAGCTAACCAAGAAAAACAAGTTTTAGTTCCCAAAGTATTACGCCAAGACATCCTATATTTATGTCATAATATCCCACTTTCTGGCCATCAAGGTATTGATAGAACAAAGCAAAAGGTTAAAATTAAATATTATTGGAAAGGCTTAAGTAGGGATGTTAAGGACTATATTGAGAAATGTCCGGAATGTGCAATGTCGAAAAAAGCAAATAAGAAAGCCCGGTGGGAAATGCAATTGTATCATGCCGGAATCCCAATGGAACGCGTACATTTGGATTTCCTTGGGCCACTCCCTAAGACCAAAAGAAAAAACCAATATTGTCTGATGGTAATAGATCAATTCACTAAATGGATTGAATGCATACCTTTAGAATCCCAGACCGCTGAAGAAACTGCTGTTGCAACGGTAAATCATGTATTTTCCAGGTTTGGGGTGCCATTAGAGATATTTACGGATCAGGGATCAAATTTTGAGAGTAAATTATTTAGGGAAATATGCCAACTTTTAGGAATCAATAAAAAACGAACCACTGCTTATAGACCCTCTGCAAACGGACAAATAGAAAGATATAACAGAACATTAATGGATGCCGTACGCTGTTTCGTAGACAAAAAGCAAGACGTATGGGATGAATGTTTGCCTCAAATTGCAGGTGCCTTACGATCTTCAGTTTGCCGAAGCACTGGCTTTACACCAAATAAACTAATGTTGGGCAGGGAGGTCGTGATGCCCTTAGAATTAGTATACCCTTCTCCGAAAATTCATTTTGAGTCTAGTCATGAATATGTTTCAAATTTACAAGATACCATTAAAGAAGCTCATGAAATAGCTAGAAATACATTAAGATCAGAACAAATGGTCTCTAAGCGTGATTATGATACCCGTTTAAATATGAAACAGTATGAGGTAGGAGATAAAGTTTTTATATTAAATTCCGCTACTAAAAAGGGGAAGTCCAAAAAGTTATCACATCAGTGGGACGGTCCAGGGTTAATAATACAACGTATATCACCCTATCTTTATCGAGTTCGATCAAGAAAATCAATTAAGATTATCAATCATGATAGAATAAAATTGTGTAAAGTGGAAAAAAATACCCTCATGGATGGTAAGTGAACTCAAAAATCTAAAAAGTCATCAAACTGATAAACTTTATTGCCTTTGTAAAAAGCCAGATGACGGCTCATTTATGATCGGGTGTGATTGGTGTGATGACTGGTTTCATGGCAGATGTGTTGGAATCACCGAAAGCCAAAGTGAAAATATATCAAAATATAAATGTCCAAAATGTGAGGCAGACGATGATGACAACTAGGGACGGGAACATACATGTTTTTACGGTTGATTTTTCAGAATGCCCAGGAGTCGGAGTTCATCAAGCTCCCCCCATGAAAGTCCGAAAAGGGGGTGGAGGAAGATCCCTGATAAATTTGCCCGGGTGGTTAGGGAAATTAGGCAGGCCACTCAGGAGGGAAGGCTCTGGGGAAATCCCCGGGACCTTATCAACCAACTTGGGGTGGTGTCCTTGTCCCAAGAGGAGTTGCAGGATATTGTCTTTGGGCAATATCAGATTGCTGAGCTCAAAAAGGATCATCGATTTGTTAGGCAGCTCCGATACCGAGCTGACTTAATCTTAGAGCGGAGCTTTGTGGCTAATAAGCTCTCGGGGAGGGGCAAGGCAAGGCCATTGGGACAAAGAGTGGTGGAGAATATCTCTAGTCCCTGTGGGCGAGGACGTAGGGCAGTGACAAGTACTGTCACTAACCCTAGTCCTGATTGCCATATGCCCCCTCTTGAGCTGGCACAAGATTTTCCCCCACTCTCCTCTCACGAGGATGAACGGGGGTTGTCTTTGCCACAGGTACAAAGTCTCCCTCTACAGCGGCCACAAGAGTGTTCCCCATTCCCCTCTCACGAGGATGAACGGGGGTTGTCCCAGTCCCAATCCCCAGCAATTCTCCCACTTTTCCCTCAGGAGAATGAGCTAAATCCTCCTATAAGGAGCCTTCTAGATCTAGATATCCCTGTGCCTGCCAGGTTCGCTGGGCGATTACAGGGGAGAAGTGTCTTGGATCTTCCGATACAGGAGGATCAGGCCCTGCCCATGCCTGCCAGGTTCGCTGGGCGATTACAGGGGAGAAGTATATTGGATCTCCCGATAGAGGAGGATCAGGCCCTGCCTGAGGCCCTCATTTCCCTTCCAGAAGAGCCGATTCCGGTGCACATTTTGGTGGAACCAGGAAACATTCAGGCAGATGTAACCTGGGAAGATCAGGAATGCCCTACGGTCAGACCAGAAGACAAGAACCGCGAGGTAAAAGTTACCACGAGAGTTTTTTACAGGTCTGATCGAATGCATGGTCGACCAGATTCCACTAATAACCAGAATCCCCCTGCCGGAGGATCAGTTTGGGCTAGGCTGGGTGCTAATAGGGCCAATCCAAGCTCACACAGTCCTGCCCAAGAGGAAAGCAATAAGGAGTGTAAGGTTCGCTGGAGAAAAGATTCAAGGTGTCCGGTACGCGGATGCTCCACATTTGCCAGACACCTCAAGGCCCATGTGATGTCTAAACATTTACCTGTGCCTTTTCGCTCAGAGGCCCTTCATGGATGCTCCTTGGTATAGGGAACAACTTACTTCTCTCCAGGAGCTTGCTTTCATGCTCACTGGGGAGAGGGATGTGTACCTACTCCTGAAATTTGTTCAGAGCCAAGGCTTCATTGTGCCTTATAATTCTCA